AAATCATTGAAAACAAAGAGAAAAAGTGATTTACATTAGGCAGACTCCCAATCCAGCCTGGGTGCAGTCCATAAAGCTTGGCATCATGATCTGCAACCAAATCAGCATAAAAACTTAGTCGGAAAAAGAACAACACGAGCAAGCTCGAGTAGCATAAACACTGGGCTGAGGTGTACCATGCGAGAGCTGCAGAGAGCGACGAATAACAATGGTATAGAAAATGATGGCGTACAGCACGAGAAGTAGGAGCTCTTTCTGCTGCCAGGAACTGCCCATCATCACCGCTTTCAGTTCCTAAACACAACAAACTTTGGGCTTATTAGGGATCACAAAATTGAAATTTAAGGGCACGTTTGCAAAGCATTGTAAATCAAAAGAGTGATTACACACAACCACTAGATAAACACTATTTAGGGTACGTTTGTTAAGCAGGACTAGGTTAAATTATTTTATCCTGTGTACCAAGATTGTATTGTTGAGTTTATGTGTCATCTATGTTTGTTAAGGAGAATTATGATACTTAGCCAACCTCCATTACAACTTGGTTTACAACCAAGTGTAATGGAGGCATTAAAAAAATATAAAAAATACTTTTTTAATGCCTAAACCAAGTTGTAATGGAGGTTGGCTATATAGCATAACCCTTGTTAAGGATGGTCGCGTAACACCCGCTTATATATTTAAAGGAAAACACGGATTATCAAAAAAAATTATTTTTTTATTCATTTTCCAATATAAATTAAACGGACATTACTAAAAAATTATTTTTTCTTTCAAGACATTCAGAGCATAAATAAATGTTTCAAAATAAACACTTTCGATTAACCAAACCGTAATTCAAACATTCAACTTGAATTTAAATTTCAACAGAGTTTACAAAAATATAAAAACATAATTAAAGACGACCAGACCGGTCCTCTCCTGTCCGCTGCCAGCTCGATCAACCTGAAAACCAAAGGGGTGAGCACCGTCTCTCGGCTAGGGGTGTGCAAAATTTAATTAAAACCGACCAAACTGAAAATTCCGGTTCGGTTTTTATCCGACTCGGCCCGTTTTCGGTTTTTTGCCCCTAATTGTTCGGTTCATTCGGTCGATTTCAGTTTCGGACTTCAAATGTCCAAAATAACCAAACCGACCGAATAATATATATATACAACCCTGCACATTCTCTTGCCCTTTCTGCCGTCCTTTCTCTGATTGGCCAATAATCAATTAATTGATAACAATAGTGATGGAGATTTGCTCCAGCAGGGTTTATATACATACTTTTGTTGGGTTATCCTTCTTGTCACTCTCTTTCTCTCGTTTCCAATTTTCTCTGATTCTCTCTCACTTATCTGTTCGTACTTAATTTTTGCCCAATTTATTTGCTTGCCGGGGGATCTTGATTCTGATCGGAGTAAAAGGTAATTTTTACCATCTGTTCAGTCTGTACCCAATGTTTTTTTTTTTTTTTTAAATTTCCACTAAAAATTCCTAAAAAAAATGTTTTTGTAAAAATTCGGTTAACCGACCGAACCGACCGAATAATTCAGTTCGGTTATACGTTGGTTTTAAGCACATCGGTCGGTCGGTCGGTCGATTTCGATTTTTGACATATAGTAATTCGGTTAATTCAAATTTTGTACTTCGGTCCGGTTAGTCGACCGAACCGACCGATGAACACCCCTAAGCCTTGGGTTCGGTTTGAATTTTATCAGTTTATTTTGCATGAGTTTATGCTTTATTTTATGAGTAAGAGTAGTTTAGTTAACAGTTGGGAAGCAAGTTCCCATAAGCACTTGAGTTAGCTAACTCAAACTAAGATCAGCAGAGAAAAGAAAAGCACTTTCAATAAAGTTAAGAGTTAATAGAAGAGTTAGAAAAATTTATATGCTTTATTTACTTTTATTGTCTTAATTGCCTTGTTGCCTTATCTGCTTAGGTGTTTGATTATCCTTGACCTAACATGTTCTTGCCTGTCCTCGCTTGTTTGTAACACTTTTGTATTAAAGGAAAATTATTTTAAACTGTAGATTAAGAGGAGTCGAGCCCTCAATCAGATGCACGTGCATTCATTCATTTCAGCCAGTAAGTTTAAAGGTGGGGGTTCTATACAATGGTTTATATAGTTTTTATATGCATGTGATTGTAGGCCGGTGGGCCAAATGTGATGTGAACTTTTTACCATGGTGGCTTGAAATAAGAGTCACTAGGCTGAGTAATTATCAGTCAAGTTATTAATGCCAATGGCACTAGTAGAGTTATTTATTAGCGGGATTGGTTGATGCCAAATGCACTAGTAAGTAATCATACCGACGTTCATGAACTTAGGTTAATGGTGTATAATAGCTAAGTAGCCGGGTAAATGAGAGTAGGGGTTTTCATCGGTTGGTTCGGTCGATTGATCGAACCGAAGTACAAAAAACGAATTAACCGAATTACTATATGTCAAAAACCGAACCGACCGACCGATGTGCTTAAAACCAAAGTATAACCGAACCTAATTATTCGGTTGTTCGGTCGGTTAACCAAATTTTTACAAACATAATTATTTTTTAGTAATTTTTAGTAGAGATAAAAAAAAACATTGGGTAGAGACTGAACAATGGTAAAAATCACCTTTTACTCCGATCAGTCAGAATCAGAATCCCTGGCGAGCAAATAAATTGGGCAAAAATTAAGTATGAACAGATAAGTGAGAGAATCTGAGAAAGTTGGAAATTAGAGAAAGCAAGTGACGAGAAGGATAGCACGACAAAAGTATGTCTATAAACCATGCTGGAGCAAATCTCCATCACTATTGTTATCAATTTATTGATTATTGGCCAATCAAAGAAAGGTCGGCAGAAGGGGTAAGAGGAAGTGTAGGTTATATATATATATATATATATATATATATATATATATTATTTGGTCGGTTCAGTTATTTTGGACATTTGAAGTACGAAACCGTAACCAACCGAATTAACCAAATAATTAGGGGCGGAAAACCGAAACCAACCGAATTAACCAAACAATTAGGGGCGGAAAACCGAAAACCGACCGAGTCGGATAAAAACCGAACCGAAATTTCTAGTTCTGTTGGTTTCTAACTCAACTTAACCGACTGGTCTCAGCTCGTTCGAACCAATCGAACTTAAGAACTATGAACAAAATAACACACAGAAACAACACAAAAAAAACAACAACAAAGTTCTGCAACAAGGTTCAAGTACGACAAAACATACACGAAGGAAAACAATGCCACAAGCACACAAACACATACTCTTCTCTTTGCTTACTTTCTAATGCATATCTTAGTTCACTTACTGGACTTATCAACTGACCTCCATACTGTTTATAACTGTGTATAATAAATTGGGATGCACGTCCACCAGAAAAATAGCAACTACATTCACTAGTCCCTAGACACGACAATAAGTTTGAGAAAAACAATACCCAAAATGAAACTTGAGAATGGTTGTGACCCAGAAATGGAACATGAGAAATTCAATGAGCTATAACTTCCATCCAAAAATGAAACAGGATCTCATAATCATACAGAACCGGAAATTTTAGGCACCAGAAAACTTATCCCAGGTTAGCTTGCAAACTCAGTATATAAACGTAAAATATAATCAGTACACAGAACACTTCATAAAGGCTCGAAACATCACCAACATTTATCATGCTTTTAAACTGAACTAAGCATAAAACATCACACAAACTTAGCCAAAAAAATGCTGCTAGAGGTTCGGCCATATACCTCTGACCTCTGCAAGAAGGGCTCGAAAAAGGACAAGGTTCAGGGTGGATTGGCTCTCGGCTGACCGCAAAGTCCTTGCTTTAGCCGGAAGTAGCTCGGGCCTCCTCGTCTGGAATCGATGTGCTCGGGTGCGCTCAAATCTCCTCGCCCGAGGAAATTCTCGGTCGCCGGCAGGCTGTTGCTTGGTACTCGCCGGAAACAAGGCTCCTCTTCAGTACACGTCAGTCGTGGGGGCTCTTGGTCGCCGGCGTGTGCTGGCCTTCTCACCGTCGAGCTGGTGGCTCTCGGATGCCACACCTAGTGGCTCGCCTCGCCGTTGGTCTGGTCGTCGAAGAAGTCCGTCCTTGTCGTCGGACGTCTAGTGGCACTCGGTCGGGTGCGGCTACTCAGGGTCGTCGGTGCTGTTTCGTTCTATTTGCCGCCAGTCGGAGGTCGGAGCTCAGGGGTTGTTGCTCGGGCTTAAAGCTCGCTGTCGGACGACGATTGCCGTGAAATTGGAGCTTCGAGTACAAAAATCGAGGCTCCAGGTCGTGGGTTCCGTTGCTCAATCGTCGGACAAGGGCTGTCGCCGGAAAATGATGCTCCTTGGTCGTCGGTTTTTGGTCTGATTTTTCTGAGGGAAAATTAGGGTGGCGCTGATGGAAATGGGAGACGACGCTGCTTGCCTAGTCTCGTGGAAGCTGTAAGGCTGGCAAAAATTCAATTTTGGTCCGCTAATTTGTCCATTGTCCACTTTTGGTACACTAACTTGTCCCTCATCAAAAAAGGTCTATTATGTTACACATTTCATCAGTTTTAGTACGCTAATCCCGTGGCCCAAGATTACGAGGTGCCAAATCAGTTTTTTATCCTAGCACGTCAACATCTTATCCCTCCACGTAATTCCAATCCCGGTCCACATTATCTTGTAATCCCGCCAACTGGACTAGTGTACTAAAACTGATGAAAAATGTAACATAATAGACCATTTTTTATGAGAGACAAGTTTGCGGACCAAAAGTGGACAATGGACAATTTAGCGGACCAAAATTGAATTTTTGCCCTGTAAGGCTTGCTAACCGATTTTGGGCCTTACAAGGCTTGGGTGTTAAGTAGTGTGTTTGGGCCGGTTTTCTAATATTTAATCAGTTGGGTCGAGCATGGCTGCTGGAGTTGGGCCGAAGAGTTGGGAAAATTTTAAGATATATGGGCTAACTTGGGCTGAGCTTGATTAGGCTATTATACTTAGCTTACTTAGGATCTAAATTTGACACTTGGCCAAATTTTAGGACTTAGGAAAACAAAAAATAAACACTTTGCACCTAAATTCAGCACTTAGAAAAATAAATTGGGCATTTAGCAATTAAAACACTTAATCACCAAAAACTCAAATAAAACACTTAGACAAAAATAATAATAAAGCACATAATCACTTAGAAAAATAAATCACATAATCACATAATTCCACTTAAGAAAAATAGTTCATATAATCACATAATTCACTTAAGAGAATCATTCACATAATCACATAAATCAATTAAGAAAATAGCCCACATAATCACATAATTTCACT